TTTTTTTAAGGGAAATTCCCTTATTCCGAATAGGATTCCTCGCAAGAAAAGGGAAAAGTTGACAGCTTTGGTTAGGGGCCTCCTAACAATTCTCTTAACAAACTACTTTCAATCAGCATTTAACAGGAAGCACTTAACCTTTTGACTTAACTGTTTGTTAAACCTCACCTTTGTATGTGGCATATACAAAGAAGTATTTTTAATGCTGCGCCGCCCCCCCCCCTACAAATCACAACACTATCTTTGTTTCATTCTTTTCTGTGGCCATTTCCCTGTGGCTTTGTTTGAACAGTGAGTGTGAGCAGGTGAGATGAGTAATAAGGAGATGTCTCTGCCAAGCCGCCCCTCCTGATCTTTATGCTGCAAAAACCAACCACATTTTTTGTGTGGTGGGGCCCTTACAGCAAAGCAGTAGAGCGCTGCGAGGGAAAGGTTATTGCAGAGCACCTAGCACCCAATACAGGCAGCCTCATGCGTTTTCGAAGCCATTTAATTGCATTAATAGAAATATATAAAATTATTCAGAAAATGTTGTCAATGTGGTGTAGTAGGTTAGTGTCAGACTAGGACATAGGAGACCAGGATTCAACCCCCCCCCCCAATCAGCCCTGAAGTTGACCGGGTGGACTTGGACCAGTCTCAGTCTCTCAGCCTAACCTACCTCACAGCTTCTGGACCAAGTGCAAGGGGAGCCCCATACAGAGCGCACTGCAGCAATCCAGCCTTGAAGCAACCAGTGCAGGAACCACTGTGGCCAAGCTTTCCCGGTTGTAGCTGTCGAACCAACTACAAGTAGGAACACTTTCTGTTTTCTATGGCTTTCTAGACTTCTAGAATGGAAGGCAGTCAAGGACTAGAATGCAGAAGCGTCTACTGTGGTGGCAAGAATGCGGACGTGTCGTGTTTTTGTGTTTTTTGGAGCAGAAACACAAAAATTCCCTCGGCGACACACTGAAATCTACACACACACACACACACACACACAGCTCAGCCCAGTGTTCTTCACTTGCAGCTCACCAGAACACAAGCTAAAAAGCAAGTTGGGGTGAGGGTGTGCAGTGAATACAATCCTCGTTCACTGTGGACAAAGAGTCACCTGGAACCTCTGCCATTAGAGATTTAGCAGGCACCTTCTGTGCCAACTTTTAAGCACCTGCTGAAATCTTTTCTGTTCCACCAGGCCTATTGCAGGTGGAATACATCCTTCCACAATGGTTCGTTGATGTCTGTGTTTAACTTTTAAAATATAGTTTTTATTGTGTGGTTTTACTGCTGTAAACTGCATATATACATACTGCAGCGTCGTGTGTGTGTGTGTGTGTATACACAGTATACAAATATTTTTATAAATAAAAATTAGTTAAGAATAGCAGAGAGTTGTTCTGAGGCTGCGTATTCGCCTCACAGGCCTCCAATTCCCAGAGTGGTTTAACCATTAGTCCCTCTTCATGGAGAGCTCTGGGAGGGGAACAGTGGTCTCCCAACAACTATCTCAACACCCTGAGCAAACTACAGCTCCCAGAACTCTTTGAGAGAAGAGTGTGGCATCACAGCACTTTATATGTATGGTGCAAATGTGGCCTTTGTGTCTCCTCTGTGGAGAACATGGCCGGTTTGTGTGAGAGTTCTTGGGAACAGGGCCTAGATTCAAGCAACCAGCTTCCAGCTCTCTATATCCCTCACTTAACTTAAGTACAATGCCTTGCAAAGCATCATGGGAACAACACTCCATAAACACGCCATTGTTATTGCTATTTATTTGAGTCAGATGAGGGAGGAAAACAAGACAAAAGAAGGTTGTTTTTTCCTTTTTAAATGCTCCTTAAAACCAGAAACATCTGTTTCGGTTATGGCTTTTGCTGGCCAATTTCTATGCTGTTTTCCATGGGCGAGGGCAGGCGAGGTACTGTTTCAGCTGACACAGGACTTGGGGGAATGTAGTCAGTCGGAAAAGAATGAACTCCATGGAGGGGGTGGGGAGCAGGCCAAGCTCCTTCTCATTAATCTTCGCTTTTCCAGCTCTTTCTTTGCAACTTGGAACATCCACCTAGCACCCGGAGAGTCCATTCAGTTCACAGCAGGCCGGACGGCATTTAAAATCAAAATCACATGGTCAGCTACTCATTTTGGACGGTTTTTCTTTTTAAGTGACAAAGTAGCCATGACTGTGGCTTCCTGCCATTAGTCCGTATCTTGAAGATTACACGCTCCATTAAATAGTGTGCATATCCTAATGGAAGCAGATTATAAAGGCAAAAAGCCTCCACCACAATCCAGTAATGGATTTAGGCACATATGGAAAATAGGGTGTTGAATTAGTTCTACACAGCTTTCAGTAGGTGGCCTTTGGTTCAGTTCAGACCAACGACCATCTGCAGGCAGAGCACGGGCTTTGCTACCAAACTGTAAAGCCATCTATGCATAGGCTGCCCCTCTCAACAAATGTTACAAGAATTCCCATGGAATGGGCAGGAGAGCAACAGAGCAGGGTGGAGAACCTCTAGCTCACGGCCCTCTTTCAGCCCACCAGACTTCTCCAGCTGGCCCACAAGGTCGTTTTAGCCAAGCCCATGCCCTCCTCAGTCAAAAGGGGATTTGCAGGTACCGGCTATCCATTGATTGGCTGAGCCCTATGCAAAGCTCTGGGAAAGATGGCGCCTTGAAAGGGTCTCCTGAAGACCCAACGATCAGCTGGCTGTCAGATCTTGAGAAGCCCTCTTCAAGGCGCTGCATAGCGTAGCCCTTTGGAAGGGGCTGGTGAAAAGGGCCACCTGACGTCATAGTGACCTCAAGGGATCCTCTACATCCACCTGTCAGATCTGGTGTGCAAGGGGTGGGGGAGGTAACAGTCTGGTCCACTGGCCAGATTTGGTTCTCAAGTCCTTATACAGAGCATCTACTTTGCACACAGAAGGTTCTTGGTTCAGTCCCCAGCATCTTCAGGTTAGCTTAGCATGTCCTCTGCCTGAAACCTTGGAAAGCCAGTGCCAGCTGGCACTGCCTTCCAGATGTAGCTGTACTGCAACTCCCATCAGTCGAAGTCATCGTAGACAATAACCAGAATTTATTTGTCGTCCAGCAACATCTGGAGATTTCTCCTGGTGTAGACAAAACTGATCTCATCTGAGCAAGTATGACTAGGCTGCAATATCTGCCCTCTGCGACAATTTTTAATTCATTGCGTTTTTACCCCATCTTTTTCTGCAAGGAGCTCAAGCTGGCGTACCTGGTTCTTCTCCCATTCCTCATTTAATCCCCACAACAACCCTGTGAGGCTGAGCGGCAGTGCCGGGCCCAAGGTCACCAAGTGAGCTTCACGGTCGAGTGAGGATTTCAACTCTGGCCTCTCCTAGGTCTTAGTCCGTCACTCTAACCACTGCACCATACAGCATGCCATGGCAGTCAAACAGGGCCCTAGTGTTTTTGTGTTATTTTCCATCAGCATGCACTAATCTTCAAGAAGAGACCTGAAAATTGCATTAAGGCAGTGTAGTATTAAATCAGAACTCTGTGCATCCATTAAAGGGAGAGAGAAAAGCCTGGTTAATTAACTTAAAAAGCTTGTTGACCAACAGCTCTGATGTAAACCCATGGACCAATGAAAATAAAAACCCACAGATTAGAAAACGGTAAGTATAAAAATGCCAGTCAACATATTTGCTCCAAAAAAACCAGAGGAGTGTAAAAAACAAGGTAACTGAACAGGCTAACAACACTCTGGTTGACATTAAGGTCCAATATAACATTTGTCGTGGCAACCAAGTTGCTGCTGTCTAACGGTCGCCGACAGAAAAGAGTTAACCTACATTCTACTGGAGTAAGGAATGAGTTATTTTCTTTTAAATTAACATTAACAAGGCTTTTCTGCTGTCAATGACTGGTGTTGCATCAGGTGGGAGCAACTGTTAAGTGCAGAGTCTTAAAAAGACTTTGCAGGCGGAAACAACCGGGTCCTTCCCCCACCTCAGGAAAAGCCACACCACCACCTTTTGTCTACAAACTATTTTTAGCGTTTCACATATATAGTGTTTTCAGTTATTTGTATGATTTACCACATATGGAAAACATGACAGTTGGTTGCAAAAGGCCTCTGCATCCCACAAGCAAAGCACTGTAACATTTGTCCCTCTTGTTGTTTTGAATAATAAAAACAACAGTAATAAAAAATTGGGGCCAGGAAACAAAGCCAAACCTAGTGTGCATATATATATATATATATATATGTGTGTGTGTGTGTGTGTGTGTGTGTGTGTATATATATATATATATATATATATATGTACACACACACACACACACACACACACACAAGCCAGCACTTGTATATATATACAATACCACCGTTAAGAAGCCATATGCTCACATGACAAAGCTGCTCCAAAAACCTTCATTTCGAAATGCTCATCTCCAAAACTTTTTCTGTTCATTTCAATCCCTACTCAGTCAAGAAGGTCCTACCCTCCTTCTGCATCAAGCAGATTCAAAAAAGTGCATCCTTCTGTGAAGAGCCTAAAAAAAAATTGACTAGATTCTTGATATACAATCATATTATAAGCCCTTGATTAATTTCTGCATGGTGCTTTCAGTTTAAAAACCGTGAAGGGGATCTTCCTCTGGATTTCATAACTTATGATTTATGGATCCAGAATTTGACTCCTGGGTGTAAGAAAGACAGAGACCACAAGTTGGGGTGGGTGCCGTTCTGATGCCCAAGCCTGCAAAATGCCCAAGCTGAAAGTCAACATTTCAGGTGCCCCCAAATCTATCAAAGGGACCAAAACTTTCAGCAACGCTCAACACCTGATGTGTTGGGGGTCCAATTCAGCTCTGCCTCAAATGCCAATAAAAACAACTCGCTGTTAGGCCCCATCTGCACTATACATTTAAAGCCGTATCATACCACTTTAAAAGTCATGGCTTTCCACAAAGAATCCTAGGAACTGTGGTTTGTTCAGGGTGCAGAGACCTCTACAATTCCCAGAGTTCCCTGGGAAGAGGAACGGATTGTTCTGGAAACTGTAGCTCTGTGGACAGAATAAGGGGTCTCCTCACAACTCTCAGCACACTTAACAAATGACAGCTCCCAGGATTCATGAAGGGAAGCATAGGAAGCTTCCTGATTCAGACCATTAGGCCCACCTAGTTCAGAATGGTCTCCACTGACTGGCACTGAGTGGCTTCCCAGAGTTTCAGACAGGAGTCTCACCTAGCCCTAGATGGAGATACTATTAGGGATTGAACCTGGGGACCTTCAGCATGCAAGGCAGATGCTCTACCGCTGAGCTACAGCCCTTCCCCATAGCCATGACTACTTGAAGCGGAATGATGCTGCTTCAGATATATAGTGCAGGCCAGGCCTTAGAGGAGACAAGCAGGCTCTTGCATATTTTAGTTTGATTCAGTATCTTCTTCCTTAACCACAGAGGAGGAAAACACATGGGACCAAAAGACACGATGAAAGCTACTCCTCTGAAAAGTGCACTTTGGAAAGTGTGTGTTCCCTGTATTCCTCAGAAATAAGCATGCGGCCCCTGAAATTAACAAGGCCATGCAGGGGTCAGCTATGGAAAGATGACCAAGCTGTGTTGGATGTGTAAAACTCTGCCTCCGCTGACCACTGTTCCACTCTGTCCTCGTCGGACCTGTCACTGTCATCTCCGCTGGAAGGCTCATAGCCAACCAGAGGAGAATGGGCTGTCTTCGACTGTTCCTCGCTCTCCTTTTTTGCTGCCACCAGCTGTTTGTAGCAAAGGTTGCACACCCTTAAAGGCTTCGGGGACAGCCGGGGCATCAGGAACCTTTGTCGAGAGCAGTCTCCGCACACCACAAAGCCACACTTCCGACAGTGGTGCCTGCGCGTGAGAGTGGAGAACTTGGTTTGTGTGCAGCGCATGCAGATGTCGGTGGCCTTGTCTGGGATCCAGGGGGCAGCGTGTTCCGTGGGGGGCTGCTGGCCCATCTTGGACAGCAAGTGGCGGATGCATTCCTCCAGGTGGCTGATCCATTCTTTCCTCTCGGTCAGGGAAGCGGCGGAAACGACGAAGGACTTCTTGGCTGTTTTGATCATCCAACGGTTCTTCATCTGTAGGGTATCCGGCAAAGTCTCCAGGGTGACTTCATCAAGGGGTATGATGTGTTGGGAGCTGTACTTCCTCCTGTTGATCACAATGCTTCCATACACAAGGATGTCGTTGAACAGGAAGAAGATCCGCGGTTTGGCTTTCTTCCGGCATTCTTTGGTCAAAATCCCTTCGCCCAAGAGGACCCTTCCAGGTATGGCCAACGGCTGGCCGGATGCTCCAAAGCAGCTCTCCACAGTCGCAATGCGTTGGCTGTTGATCTCAGTGTTGGCCAGATGGTCTACCATCTTGGCAGGTCACCTGGAAACAAGGAAGGAAAACAGAAGCTGTGACTGCTGAATCTGAGACCAAAAGGATCAAGGGAGTGGGAGTAACTCCCCTAAGAGGAAAGGTTGTTTTTTTGTTTAGAGCAGAGTTTCCCACATTTGGGTCCCCAGCTGGACTACAATTCCCATCATCCCTGACCACCGGTCCTGCTAGTTAGGGATGATGGGAGTTGTAGTCCAACAACAGCTGGAGACCCAAGTTTGGGAAACCATGTTTTGGAGAAAAGGCAAGCAAGAGGCGACAGGATAGAGGCATATAAAATGATGCAGGGTGCGGAGAAAGTGGACAGAGAAAAGCTTTTATCCCCTTCTCATAATGTGAGAACTTGGGGACATCTAATGAAGCTGAACGTTGGAAAATTCAGGACAGGCAAAAGAAACGTCTTCACATGGTGCATAGCTAGGCTATAGAATTCACTACCACAAGAGGCAGTGATGGCCACCAACTTGGATGGCTTTAAATATTATACAAAAGGAAGATATGGCTATAAGTGGCTACTAAGCTCAATGGCTATGCTCTCCCTTCACTGGCAGAGGCAGCTATGCTTCTGAATACCAGTTGCTGGAAACTGCAGAACTAAATAATAATAATAATAATAATAATAATAATAATAATTTTTATTATTTATACCCTGCCCATCTGGCTGGGTTTCCCCAGCCACTCTGGGCGGCTTCCAACAAAATATTAAAAATACATTAAAACACCAGTCATAAAAAACTTCTCTAAACAGGGCTGCCTTCAGATGTAGTTGTGCCCAGGTTCATTTGTGGGTTTCCAAGAGGCAACTGGTTAACCAGTGAAAACAGCATGATGGACTAGATTGGCCACTGCCTATTCTTATGTATCTTCCCTCGTCAGTGCCATGACCTTATGCTCCCCCCCCCCACTTAACATCCCAGTGACTGAATTCAAAATGACAAGACTCCAAAAAGTTCCTTTGCCCATGTAATAAGACAAAACCAGAATTACTTGTCTACATCAACCCCCATCATAATTCTATGCTTGCATGATCACATATGTACAAACACCTGATACCAAAACACCGAGCGAAACATGATAATCACTATCAGAAAGTACCATCCTTTCAGGACTATATGACTGCAGAATGTGTGTGTCTTACATGTTTGGCCATTCTCACATGTCAAGGACACCATGCACATAGAAATCTAGCATGTCAGGGAAGAAGACTCTAGTTTTCACGTTATTCTAGTGGGAGAAAAAAAGTTGCTTTCAAAAGGGAGGATTCAAATGTGTCCCCCAAGCAGCAGCCTGAAGTGGTACAGTCTAGGAAGGATCATAGCTGCATGGTTTTGTGAATATATTGTTTGGCCCCCAACATCTCCGCAAATGTTCATGAGCAGTGCAGGGTGCACCCACACTGCTCTGCCTTGTGTTGAACAAAATAAGGTTTTGCAACCCTAGTGGCAGGCCAAACATCCACATGTATGAAGAAACTGAGTCATTTCCCAAATGCATCATATAAAATGAAGTTCACAGAGAGCACATGCTTTTTCTTGCACGTACACACAATGGGTAACCTAAGAGATCATTCACCAAGGAACACACAGCTCCAAAGCACTGAAGGTCATGCCATGGCCAGGTTCCTTTTCTACAATGACTTTGTAAACAAGCATAAAAAATAACCCTGAAAATTCAATTTCCAAGACACCTCCCTTCACAAAATGTGCAACATCTACACCACACAAGAGCTTTGTAGAGAGGAAACAATAGCAAGGGAGAAAGTGCTAGCAATGACAATTGTTTTAAAAACCGCTAGAATGATCATGTTGACAACGCAGTCTGTTAGATGCTGCTCAAGAATGTACCAGTCACTATTGATGGGAAGAGATTTCCCCTACATTTCTCAAGCAGGGCTCACAAAACTCAGTGAAACTGTGTTTGCATCAACATTCCCAGGAATTAAAATAGGAGGCTAATGTTACGTTTTGTGAAAGTTTCATGACTGTTCCAGAGCTCCCTTTTTCTTCCAGCCTGGAAAAAACGAAACACCCATAATCTGTTATGCAATGATCTTGAGGACCACACTGCTCTTGCCACATTTGAACTCATTTCTTGTGAATGTCGATTTGGCTTGGATATCTATCAGGACATTTAGATGACATATCTTGACTCGCATGCCTAAACTGAGATGGGTGTATTGATGGTCATTGCATTATTAATGTGAGCTGGTGGTGGGGCAGTTGTTTCTTTTCACTTTGTTAAACTTTCTATAAAAATTAACTAAAATCGTATTTTGATCCAACTGAACAGCCAAGAAGGAGCCAAAAAAGAAAGCCTAACCCAACTCAGGGGCTCTCCACAAAGTCAGCCCCCGTGGACTGCAACATGCTATAGGAAGGGACAGTGAATATTGTTGGACTTCAACTCCCATCATCCCCAGCCCAAATGGCCAATTGTCAGAGATGATGGGAGCTGTCCAGCAACACCTGAAGAGCCACAGGTCCCCCACTCCTGCTACAGGGAGAGAGAGAAAGTCAATTCCTCCCTGAAATGGTCCCCAGTGCTCATGTGCTACAGGAGAAGGCAACCCCTGTCTACCCCAATCTAATTTCACCTGCGGAAATCATTGCTCCCCAAGAACCATATGGCCTATACCCACCTACCAATTTATTCCAAAGAAGGTTTATTGCGTACCTCTTATGCAACAGCAGCCCATCCAGACAAGCCTAGCACATAAACTATGGAACTCCCTCCCATAGGAGGCGGCGATGGCTGCCAACTTGGATGGCTTTCAAAGAGGATTCGACAAATTCATGGAGGAGGAGAGGGCTATGGATGGCTACCAGCCATGATGACTAAGCTCCGTCTTCACAGTTGGAAGCTGAATACCAGTTCCCAGAAATCAGCCAGAGGGGAGGGTGCTCTTGCACTTGAATCCTCCTTGCGGATTTCCCCGCAGGCATCTGGTTGGCCACTGTGAGAACAGGATGCTGGACGAGATGATCCATCAGCCAGTGTGGTGTAGTGGTTAAGAACGTAATCTGGTGAACCGGGTTCGCTTCCCTGCTCCTCCACATGCAGCTGCTGGGTGACCTTGGGCCAGTCACATTTCTTTGAAGTCTCTCAGCCCCACTCACCTTACAGAGTGTTTGTTGTGGGGGAGGAAGGGAAAGGAGATTGTGAGCCGCTTTGAGACTCCTTCAGGTAGTGATAAAGCGGGATATCAAATCCAAACTCTTCTTCTTAAGCCTACAAAAGTTACTAGCCCACACACGACTACAGCCATGTTTTATTTCCTCAACAGCCTGCAAGAAGGAATCCTTGATGCCATGGGGCATCAGATGCAGATCCCTGCATTGCAGGGGGTTGGACCACGTGATCCTCAGGGTCCCTTCTGACTCTACAATTCTATGATTAAAAACCACTTTTATTTCACACAAAAAACGCCTTGTCGCCTGGAGGCAATTTTGTGCTCACTGTAGGTGATTAGAAACAGCAGCGATTTATAAGTGTGCATAAGAGCTGTTCAGCTTAAGGACCATGGAAGCTTCTTCAGCATTTATTTTTTTTAAAGAAAAGAAACAAATGCACTGCCGGGTTGCTTTGAGGATCAGTTTGTAATAGTGAAGGACCGACTGCCCCACCATCAGCCAGCGTGATCGTTTTATATTTAAAAGACAAAACTAAAAGCCACCACAGAGTCGCTTTGCTTCTGCTATTATGAACATAATGACTTTTGCACACTACAGAACAGGAGGGGAGGGAGAGGCATGAAAAGGAAAGAAAACTAAAAACTACAGTACCTCTGATCTCGGTGCCCATTTGAAGTGGGAACACACAGCAGAGAACGGCAAACTCCAATTATATATATAAAAAGGACTGTTGGAGCCAACCTTTCATAGCTATTAGTGAGAGGTTGTTTTCATAAGAGCTCTTGGCAGGAGGCCTCTAGTAACCTTTCATCACAGAATCCACAGGGCTGATTAGTTTCACAGGACTCTTCTGTGGACTTCTGTCTTGTAATGCAAAACGTTCCCGAGCTTTGCACAGGGCGGCATTAATTGTACCCCTTGGTGCAGACCAAGGATGAAAAGCAAAAGGGTCCTTAGCAGGAAAGCTCTAAGCCACTTGGAACTCCACACCAGGGTGGCAATGAGGTGCAAACCTCCCTCTTTCTCTGTTCCATTAAAACCAACCTTTTCCCCACAAATGTAAAGAACAGCTCTGTTGGGTCAGGCCAAGGGGTCACCTAATCCACTGGCCCCAGCCAGCCAGTCAGTGTTTGGAAAGCTTACACAAACTCTCCTCTCACGTTTTTTGTCACCTATAAGTGTGGAGTAGTAGTAGTAGTAATAATAATAATAATAATAATAATAATAATAATAATAATAATAATAATAATAATTTATTTATACCCCGCCCATCTGGCTGGGTTTCCCCAGCCACTCTGGGCGGCTTCCAACAAAACACTAAAATACAATAACCTATTAAACATTAAAAGCTTCCCTAACCAGGGCTGCCTTCAGATGTCTTCTAAAAGTTTGGTAGTTATCTTTCTCTTTGACATCTGATGGGAGGGCGTTCCACAGGGTGGGTGCCACTACCGAGAAGGCCCTCTGCCTGGTTCCCTGTAACTTGGCTTCTCGTAGCGAGGGAACCACCAGAAGGCCCTCGGCGCTGGACCTCAGTGTCCGGGCAGAACGATGAAGGTGGAGACGCTCCTTCAGGTATACTGGACCGAGGCCGTTTAGGGCTTTAAAGGTCAGCACCAACACTTTGAATTGTGCTCGGAAACATACTGGGAGCCAGTGTAGGTCTTTTAAGACCGGTGTTATATGGTCTCGGCGTAGAAGTTAGACTCAGCTCTGGGCTAGGAACCTGAAGACTTCATGGGAGGCTTTTAAGAAGTGGGCAGCTATCTGCCATGGATGCTTTCATTGCGATTCCTGCATTGCAGGCGGTGGGACTACTAGATGATCCTTCAGGTCCCTTCCAGCTCTACATGGTTTTATGAGCATCAAACTCCCCACCCCACTCGGGTATGAAGCCCCACTGGGTGACAGTGGGCCAGTCTCTCTCTCTCTCTCTGACTACCCTACCTTGCAGGGCTGTTGTGAGGATAAAACAGAAATAACTGTATATGCCACCCTGAGCTTCTTGGAGTATAAATGTTTGAAGAGTGATGCACCCACTTGACCACCTCTTAATTATTTTATGGTAAGGAAGTGACCATCTCCACCCCCCACTCCAGAAGAGATTATGAAGGAAAATTAATCCCTTTGACTTCCCCCACTAAAAGCCCCTGGATTTAGTTATCTGTAATTCTCCTGGCTTAATCCACCACGGAGGGGATCTTTTCAGCAGTGGCCTCCTATATCTGTGGAACACTCTCCACAGGAAAAACCCCACCATCATTATCAGTGTTTAGGCACTTTTCATTGACTTTTGGCCTTTGGTAACCAAGCTGGCCCCTGCAGCAGGGTTCATATTTAGGTGGGTATGGGAAGGGCTTTCTTTAATATTATATCAGATGAACATTTCTGGTGTCTTCTGTATTTCATCTTGTTAAGTCACTTGGAGGCTTTTATTTTTGTAAAAAGGGGCAAATACATGTAGATGACAATAATAATAACATTTATAGCTTCCAGAGTTCTTTAGAAGCCACAATAGCCAAATAGTTTCACAAGTAATAGTTTCACGAGTGACATAGGTGTAATATAACATGAAAATGAAACCACTGCAGAGCTCTTCAGAAGTGATTTGATCTCAAAGCCTGCAGCGACAGAAGTGATCCTGGTTAAGGAATCCACTGGGAGGCACCCAATAAATTCATGACTGTCCTACGTTGTGCAATTTCTAGGGGAAAGAACTGGGTGAAAGGTAGAACTGAAGTGATTCACCCAGAAAGGCGGCAGGATCAGTTCATGGATAACAGCAAAACATGGAGAGGTTGTTGGCCTTCACAAAACAACCCATTGCCAGTTTCAAAGGGGGGGGGGGAAATCTGGAACAAATTCAACAACAAGGCTGGGAAATAATGCAGATGCAGAAAGGAACAAGATCGGAATGACAAGAATCTGAACTCTGAAGCAAAACAATATTGTGACTCAGCAAATTTTCAGAGCAGACAGCTGACCAGTTCAGAGAGCAAGTTTAGCTCCTTCGCACTGGCTTTTAGCAATCATTTGCAGCTGTTAGGTGATAGGCACAGTCTTTGTCAAGGCTGAAGCTGTGATTTAAAGCTCCAAGAACCTTAGTTAACACACGCACACGCACACACAGACAAAAACTGGGTATGGTATCCACTGATAGCCCTACTCAGAGTAGGCCCATTGAACTCAATGGACATGGCTATTTTCAGTGGGTCTACTTAGTTGGTAGTATGGCTTAGTTGGAGTCATGGGTCTTAACTGCTGCAACTCCATCTTGAACCCCTGGGCTCCATCTTGAACCCCCTGCTGCCAAAGCTAAGCACTTTAATAGTACAATTCCATTGCATGCTGACTTAAAGGTAACCCTACTGAGCTCAATGGGGCATATCCCAAAGTAAGCGTGCAGCCTTGTTACATGGATTTCAATGGAGCGGGGATTCAAACAACTTTGCTTCCATGGGCCGCTATCCTGTCACATGGAACAAAAACTTTTGAAATGCTTGAAGAGTAAAACATACCTTCCTGTCGCAAGAACTGAACACAAAATATTTGCCGTTTTAGCAAAATTGGAAGCATTCTTCCCACTGATAGCAGTTACTCTTAGGACATGAGAAGGTGCACAGTCTCCTAGTGTTCATCCCAGTAATGTTAGGAAAGGGCCGTAGCTCAGTGGTAGAGAATATGCTTTGAATGCAGGAGGTCCCAGGTTCAATCCCTGGCATCTCCAGGCAGTGCAAGTTTCCTGCCTGAAACCCTGGGGAACTGCTGCCTATCAGTGCAGACAGTACTAAGCTAGATAGTTCAATGATCTGATTCAGTATAAGGTAGCTTCCTATATTTTAGGATACGCCATTCCAACTGAGCATGCTCAATGGCCATGAAACGCTGCCTTGACTGTTGGAGGAGAGGAAGACAGGGAACGGAGATAGTTGTTATGCTGAACAGAGCATGCTCCATGCTGCAACATTTTGTTGCGGGTCTCACTTGTAGAAACTAGTGGAGACGCTACTTCCAAAGAAAGGGAGGCCGGGCATTGGTTTATAGAGATCTGGTGACTCAAGAAGCGAAGCCCTGACACAAACATTTCTTGTGCGGCAGTTGAGACAATGACTAATAGCATCTGGTGTTGGCCACCTTTGGGGAGAGTAAACTGTTGCCTGGGATGCCACTGGTTTCAGAAGAAACTCTGTGGAAGTTGCACAGGACTGAAACAGAGTCGTACTCAGGAGGGTGAGCCTGACAGGCTGGTTGCAAAGCCCCCAAACAGTTACTCCACTGGTGCCCATCTGCTTACAGCAAATGGGAGCAGGCTGTCTCCAGACCTCCTGCCTCACGATTGCACAGATGTGAGAGGCTGGGACTGTGGCACAAAACCTTCTCTGTCTGTGGCCCAAGCCCTCTGGAGCCATTTTCCTAGTGGGATCCATCTGTGTCAAATGCTGCTGTTGTTCCAAAAACCCTGATTGTGGCTAATTGTTTATTTTTAAAAAGAGTGAGCACTGACTCACTCCCACATGAGCAGAGACAGAGACCAGAGCATCAACTGGTTGCATTGCTGTACTTATCTTTAACCACCTTTGATCTCTGCAGACTAAGCTTTACCTTTCCTGGCCAATTTGGCCAGAGTTCAGTACCATTCTTCCTCCACCACTATGCCAAGGAAAGCAAAACACACCTGACAAAGTGGACTCTCAAGTCCACGAGAAACACCTGCCACAACAAATCTTCATTTTCAGCAGCAACAGAAGGCTCTGATTATTATGCTGCCTCCATCCTCCTCTCCTCTCCACCCAGCCTCAACTCTGCTAGGGTTGGTTTAGCCTAGAGAAAAGAAGATGGGGGGGAGAGAGGAAAAGGGGTCCATAAGAACACCAGAAGAGCCTTCTGGTTCATGCCAGTGGCCCATCTAGTCCAGAATCCTGTTCTCCCAGTGGCCGACCGGATGCCTTTGGGAAACCAGCAAGCAGGATTGGAGCACATGAGCTCTCCCCCCTCCTGTGGCTTCCAGCAACTGGTATTCAGAAGCATTGCTGCCTCCACTTGCGCAGGCAGATCATAGCCACCGACAGCCCTCTCCTCCATGAGTTTGTCTCAATTCTCTTTTAAAGCCACCCAAATTGGTGGCCATCACTGTCTCCTGTGGGATTGAGTTCCTTAATCTAACTATGTGCTGCGTGACCAAGTCCTTTCTTTCATTGGTCCTGAATCATCCAACATGCAGCTTCATTCGATGCCCACAAGTTCCAGTGTTATGAGAAAGGGAGGAAAAACTTTACTCTATCCACTTTCTCCATGCCATGCATAATTTTATAAAATTCTATCATGCTGCCTCTTGCAAGCCTTTGCTCTTCAGCTGAAAAGTCCCAGACGCCACAACCTATTTACATAGGAAACTTGCTCCATGCCATTGATCATTTTGGCTGCCCTTTTCTGAACCTTTTCCAACTTTGCCCAATCCTCTTTTAAAGCCATTGTGGTCCCTGTCATTTACCTGCCTCCAATCTCATTTGTGGGGTGGGTGACGGTGAAGTCCCTCTTGCTTTAGTAGGCTGGGGGAAAGGGTGACAGATGAAATATAGGAAGCAGAGGGGACAGTGTCAGCAGCCAGCTTGAAATGCATGGTTATAGGTAGAGTTGCCACCTACGGGTCAAGACCCAGGATTGCTACAGAATGAGAAACAAGGTCAGGCAGGCCCTGTGTAGAAGTTCCTTATCAGTCCTCTCTATGACACCAACAGAGAGGGCTTTACCTTCATGCTACAGTGAGAGCAAATAATGTAGAGTTGCGTCAAGATCCTCAGCTGTTTCACTCGCCTCACCTCCTTTTCAGAGACTCCTGCTGTTGACTCACATTTGACAGTCACCTGGTTGTTTCGACACTGACAGGAGCACTTCTTGGTTTCACTGTTTCTTAACGCACCAGCTACATGCTTTGAAGGATTCCTGCCATTGCCACTAAATACACACCCAAACCTAAGAGCTGGGCTGTGGAAGCTTCCATATGCTGCTGCTGGGACTACCACTCCCATTAACCGTGACCTTTGGCCAGGCTGGATGGAGCTCAGGGGAGGTGGAGTTCATCAACATCTGGAAAGTCACAGGTTCTCCACACACACCACTCCACTCCACCTTACAGAATCTCATCCCCTTCCTATAATCTGGCAGCTGTCTCTGCCATCACACTTAATAAATAAATATAATATAATATAATATAATATAATATAATATAATATAATATAATATAATAATAATTTAAAAACAAAGTAAGCACCACCATCATCACTATGGATGATAATAATACTAATTTCATTTATAAATCGCTTCCCATACGGCATGCCGAAGAGATCTGCAGTATCATTTAGGTCCATTTCAAGCACATTCTTGAAAGAAGAAAAGCGTCACTTTATGTATATTTCGACTGCCAGCGGACACAGAGAGTTGGCGGGATGGAAGTTTGAAAGCCGCTCCCACGGGCGGAAATAGCATTTTAAAAGCCCCTTTCAGATTACAACAGCGCACTGGCTCTTCGCTCTCAGGTCCGGCGCCGGCACCGCAACAGTTTTGCAAAGTTTGTGGAACTTTAAAGGATCGGTGAATTCCAAGCGCCGTAGAAAGACGCTACAGTACACAGACCCTTCGCACAGACCCCACCCCCATGCAGCGCTTCTCTCCCGCCTACGGTCGTGCAAGGCGGAGAGCGCGGTCGAGCCAAGAGACATGAATGTACCTCCTCGTGACTTTTCCTGGTTCCTGTCCCAACCGGGTCCCCGGGTCCGTCGATTCCGCCAAGAGACGCCTGGGATCCTCTCGCAGCAGAAAGTGCAATTCCAAAGATTTCCCTCGTTTTTAATCCAGAAGGGACTCCGCAGAAGGCTCTAGGTTGAGGCTGCAACGCTACCCTTCCCTGGAAGCAAGTCCCATTGAATTTAATGGAGCCTACTTCTGAGTAGGCGACTTGCGCCTGCAAAATCTCACCCTACTTTTTTCTTTCTTTCCCTTTTCGCATCCGCGGCTGCGTAAAAAATGAATGAAACAACAACAGCAAAGTATCTCTGGAACGCTCAGAGTCCCCAACATTCCATTCTCCCCTCTTTCCGTAAGTGTCACGAGCCAATCAACAGGCCGCCTCCGAAGCAGGACCGTCCGGTTCTGGGACGCTCAGTCTCAGCATTCCACGCGTAGCCACGCCCCCGGAAACAACGGCGGCCAATCAGAGGGCGCAGTCGGAGCCTGGTGAGTTTGGCTGGGCGGGTGAAAAAGAGAGGGGGGGGAAACAAGAAGAAAAGAGGGGAAGGAAGAAAAAAGAACAAGGGTGACTTAAAGCGGCGGGGCGGTGCATGGAAACTTTGCATTCTGCTAGTAACGGAAAATCGTAGAATCATAGAATTTTAGAGTTGGAAGGCACCCCAAGGGTCATCTAGTCCAACCCTCTGCAATGCAGGAGTCACAACTAAAGCATCCATGACAGATTTAAGCTCTGTTTAAAAACTTGCAGTCAGTGAAAGAGAGTCCAGCACCTTCCAAGGGAATCCATTCCACTGTCAAACAGCTCTTACCTTCAGTAAATGCTTTCTAATGGTTGAAATCCCCTTTCTTGTAACTTGAAGCCATTGGTTTGGGTCCTACTCTCCGGAGCAGAAGAAAACAACTTGCTTCATCTTCCACGTGACAGCCCTTTAGATGTTTGAAGATGGCTATCATATCTCGCCTCAGTCATCTCTTCTTCAGCCTAAACATATTCAGCTCCCTCAACCTTTCCTCATAAGGCTTGGTTTCCAGACCCTTGAACATCTTGTTGACCCTCGATTGCACACATTCCAGCTTGCCAATGCCCTTCTTAAATTGCAGTGCCCAGAACTGTGCCCAGGACTCCAGGTGTGGTCTGACAAAGGCAGAATAGAATGATACTATCACTTGCCTCAGCGCCTAGGGCTTGCCGATCGAAAGGTTGGCAGTTCGAATCCCCGTGGTGGGGTGCGCTCCCGTTGTTCGGTCCCAGCGCCTGCCAACCTAGCAGTTCGAAAGCACTCCCGGGTGCAAATAGATAAATAGGGACCGCTTACTAGCGGGAAGGTAAACAGCGTTCCGTGTGCTGCGCTGGCTCGCCAGATGCAGCTTGTCACGCTGGCCACGTGACCCGGAAGTGTCTCCGGACAGCGCTGGCCCCCGGCCTCTTGAGTGAGATGGGCGCACAACCCTAGAGTCTGTCAAGACTGGCCCGTTCGGGCAGGGGTACCTTTACCTTTATCACTTCCTTTGATCTGGACACTATACTTCTGTTGATGTCCAGATCGAGGGAAATAATAGTACCTTTGTCAGACCCTACTTGGAGAGTAACAGATGCTGACATATCCTCCCTGGGAAGGGAGGAAATAGATAGGAAGGGAGTGGGAAAGCCACCTGGGAGCAGATGGTGTCTTAGAGCCAGAGCAGAGCCTGGGAAGACTTTGGCCAAAACCCACTTCCCAGTCAACAGCTGTGTATTTGGAGCAGAGCCCACCCACCCCATCCACCCCTAGCCAGCAATAGTCAGAGATGAGCATTATAGCATTTGGAGGGCTGTAGATAGCCGGATGTAGTAAAACACACACCTTTTGAGTGATCGGATTGCTGTGGGAGGAAGTACAGTGGTATCTCTGGTTGCGAACGGGATGTATTTTGTGGTAACAAACCAGCTTCTCTCCAGGAACAAGAGGAGACCAATTCTGCATTTTTGTGTGTGGCAGAAGCAAACTGTGCACAGACGCTGGTGGGGAAGGGCCGTGGCTCAGCAATAGAGCATTTCCTTTGCATTCAGAAGGTCCCAGGTACAATCGTCAGCATCTCCAGGTAGGGCTGAGGTGTCCCCTACCTGAAAGCTAGAGAGCTTCTGCCAGCCCGTGCAGACAATACTGAGCTAGATTGACCCCATAGTCTGACTCGGCATGAGGCAACTTTCTGTATTCCTATGACTGGCTGGTGCTTATGAAGGCACAAGCCTATTCCCCCACCCAGCAGTCATTTGGGTATCTATCTATCTATCTATCTATCTATCTATCTATCTATCTATCTATCTATCATCTTTCAATCACCTTTAAAAGGTAGGCAGTAGGCAAACTTTCAATTCAATAAACTCATAAGTGGCATATTGTTGTTGTTGTTATTATTATTATTAAAAAAAAATATCTCTCCCAAGCATGGGGAAGAAGTTGCAAGACCAGCTACTGAAGCACTGTTTGATTTTCTGGCAAATAAGCCTATTAAATTTACAGTGGTACCTCGGGTTAAGTACTTAATTCATTCCGGAGGTCCGTTCTTAACCTGAAACTGTTCTTAACCTGAAGCACCACTTTAGCTAATGGGGCCTCCCGCCGCCGCCGCGCCGCCGCTGCCGCTGTGCGATTTCTGTTCTCATCCTGAAGCAAAGTTCTTAACCCGAGGTACTATTTCTGGGTTAGTGGAGTCTGTAACCTGAAGCGTATGTAACCTGAAGCATATGTAACCCGAGGTACCACTGTATTAGAAAGGCGGGATAAACCAGATTTGCCCTTTGGGAGAAAAGACTCATAGCAAGTCTTTTTATTAAAGGACTTTTGTCCCCACCCGCTCTTTTGGACCACAATGGTTCTTGTGTTAAATGCTTCATGGCAACTGATGGGGACTGCCTTTAAAATGGAAATGTTTCTTTTTCTAGGCTTTCGTGTTCTTTGGAACTAATAACATGGTAGCTCTCCCTGTGTTTTGAAGCAGTTATCCTGTCTGCTGGCGTGTGTCTATAATTCTTGGCACAGTCTTCTGGTTTAGTGGCCTCTGAATTTGTGTAATGGGCAATCTGGTGTGGGTTTGTCTGGTGTGGGTTATTCTCAAATCTCATTCTTTGTTGGCCCTGCTAACTATCTGGAGCTATAGGAAACCAGAGTCAAATAATTTCAAGACTGCCACATGTTCCCCATCCCTAATGTAAAACATTCATATACTACTTTTGTATTAATATAAACATGGGTGTTTACAATAGAAATAATATAAGAGAATGATGATTCTCAGCAGTCTTGCTAAACTGCAATCTCCAGGAATATTTGATGGAAGCCATGACTGTTAGAGTGTTATAATGCTAAATTTCATTTTTCTATACCTTCTCAGAATGAAATGCAGCGTTTTAAAGTACTATCTTATGACAAGGAAAGGGCTTTAAAGTATAGAGCAATACATAACTCTTTGGTAGGCAGAGTCTAAAAATACCTTTGTCACATGACAGCTGGCCTTCTTCCCTGCCAATCAAAGACAGCAGTATCATATTACCTTTTTATGTTAGTGCTGATTTTTTTTTTTTTTAACGATTCATCTTTTGAATTTGAACACTTGACATTATCTCGGTAATTTGCAAGTTTGGAAGCAATATTCAACATTGTTTCGCTTCTGACAATGTTCTTTTTGATCCGTTTATTTTCCCATGCCTGGAAGCTGAAGTTCTTCTGTGTTTTCTGACTTTACTGGAGAAGAAAAACCTGTGCATGCTCCTCTTTTCAATTCTCATTCTTCCCTAGCTCCCTTTTTATTTAAACAGCAATCTTGTATTCACTGTGTGTTCTTTTATTATAACACGGGAAATCGTGATGAATGATTAGGTATTTCAAACACTAAAACTTAGGTAGATTAGCTACTTCAAATATTAGAAGTGAAAAAATATTGCAGAGGACAAGTGCATGATAATAATCAGTTAATTTAAAAAGTTGTAAATGTGTGCACCATGATAGACAGATTCCTCACACAGGTACATCAAAGAGCTAGATGGAATAAAAAATACAGCAGTTTTAGGCCTGCGAAGGAGAGGCTGCCATGAAAGATGATGGGGCATAGGAAGCTGTCTTCTACCAAGTCAGCTACTGGTTCATCAACCCCAATCTTGTCTGCTCTGATCAGTAATGGCTCTCCAAGGTCCCAGGCAGGGGACAATGAGAGGTCAGAAAGAGAAGAGGGAGAAACTTGGGAGGAAGAGGTGTCGGAAGCTGAAGAAGCTGGGAAAACCATAGCTTTAACTATACGGACCTTTGTCAGCAAGGTGATGTCTCTGCTTTTTAAGATGCTGCCTAGGTTTGTCATTGCTTTTCTCCCAAGAAGCAGGCGTCTTTTAATTTTGTGGCTGCTGTCACCATCTGCAGTGATCATGGAGCCCAAGAAAGTAAAATCTCTCACTGCACATACAATGCATATAAAATGCTTTTTCTTTGCCAATGTAGTTGAGTCCAGGGTTTAGTGAGCTGGGGGAGCCTCTGGCAGAGAGAAGTGCAGAAGCAGGAGAGGAGGGTGGCCAAGAGGCAGAGATGAGTCAAGCTGCTGAAGAAGTTAGACTGCCCTCCCACTCCTGCTGCAACAAACTACCCTCCCCCGGTCTCCCAGGACCAGAAGAGGTATGAAGAGGGAAGAGCAGAGAAAGGTGTGTCAGCAGAGTCTCAGGTTTCTTTGAGAGCACCCAGAGGAGGGGGAGTTTTAGGCAGCTGCGGGAAGGTGGGGGCAGCCTCCACAACTGCCTTATTGGGGCAAGACCTAGTGAGAAGAACTGCTGTGCTTATTAGGCCCGGCTCCCCTGAGCAGGCCTTGTTTCGTCTAATAAAGAATTAACTTCATGTACTCCATGTGATTTATTGCTGGCTAACTCCCTGACCTTAACTTGCATACAGTTCAAAGGCAGCCAGTTTGAAATCCCACAAATTAATTGTATGCAAGGCAGAGAGCTTGAAAGCACCAGGTTTTCCTGGTGCAGAAAGAGATTTCAAGCTTTCTGCTTTGCTTACCAGGCTCACAAGATCTCAGGTGGCCTCCCAGAGCCTGGAGAGTTGAAAAGCGCTCTGCCTTCCTTGTGGGGAAAGACCCAATTGGTGTGCTGGCTCCAGAAGGCAAGATTGCTCATGCAGGAGCAGTTCCGATGGGGAGGTTCACGTAAACACTGTTTTGTGTATATGTGACAGCCCTGGAACATAACCCCGGCACAAGATGCGACCGTATTGCATAGACTCTCTGCAAGCGAGCCGAGCCCAATCACTAAACAATGAATCTCTCTTTCCCATATTTATTCCTCTTGGTGCACAGCAGCGGGCAGATTATAGGAAACAGTTTTCCATTTAACCCCAAGTGGTAAAGAAATGGGTTTGCAGCTCTCCTAGTAAATTTGCACTTACCATCCGTTAATGGATGGGCTTAGGCGAGCTCCACACTGCCAGCGTTGTATAGAAACACAGGGAGGGAGGGGGGAATTGCCTGGGAATTTGTTTTTAATTAAGCAATAAGGCTCAATGGGCTACTCCCGTCATGCAATAAAAACCACTCCCAGAGAAGGGTAGGAAGGCATTTGCTTCAGATGAGCTGCTTCAAATCACCCCCAGATTGCGATCGGATGATGACTCCCTGGAGTTAAGATTAGATGGCCCTCCCAAGAGTTGTCTTATAGCTTATAACTAAAAAGGATTCACAGCACAGAAGCTAAGTAGCTTTTGTGTTCGAAAGGAATGGAGTTAGCAGAGGGAAGAGACAGAGCAATGTGGCTCCTTGTTATAGAACCATGGAACTGTAGACGTGGAACATGGGTGCAGAGTAACTGTGAGCCCGTGGTGGTGCAGGGGTTAGAGTGTCGCACTAGGACCTGGGAGACCCGGGTTCAAATCCCCTGCTCAGCCATGAAGCTCACTGGGTGACCTT